AATGAAAACAAAAAGAGAAGCTAAAAATACCTGAAGACATACAGACAGTTTTAGGAATGTGACCCACTTGGTGTCATACATTGAAAAAGTTAATCAATTGAATTAACTACATGTGCGTTAGGTGAAATATTCTACCAGATGAAAAAAGGCGTAGGTTGCACATCTGGAGCTATTATACACAATCAAAGAAGTCAGTATGAATGAAGATGACTAACAATCTAAAATGCATGAAATCAGACTTTCCTAAAAATGGAATATATACCAGAATCCAATAGAAATCCATTAATTTAGCTCCTCTTCCTATACATTTTGTTTTCTTTTCATTAGTTTAGAAAATCTCCTCCATTTGAAATGAAAGTTTCCTATTCACCATAAGATTTTTTTTTAACTGGATGGATCAATATAACTAGGCATAGTTTTTAAATTATGTTGGAGTGCACCTTTCTATAAAGGAAAGCTTCCAAATCCTATATATTACATTGAAAATAATGTTTTTAAACTAAGTTTAGTTTTGAAAATTCTAGTTTTAATAAGAATTTGAACAGACTCAATCATTTACAGAAAACCTACTTTATTGCAAGGCATTAAGCTAGTCTGTGAAAAATGAATAAAAGGCAGCCCTTGCTATCAAAAATGTTTCAACCATCATATAATTATGTTTCATAACATTGATTTTTAAAATGTCTCCACACAGTAAAATGTAAAAAGTGTTGACCATGACATGAAGAGAACAGGGCTAAAGTTCCAGCTCTGTCAATGAGCTTAGAAAAGTTTCTTCCTAAGCCTCGGCTCTCTCATCTATAAAATGAGTATAAATGAACATATCACCTCTTCTGGTACACAGATCATTATGATGATCAAAAGAGGTGATATGGGTGGAAACCAAATCTCTATAAAAATGAGTCATTATATACTTGGGTTCAATATTTAAACATTTAAAAAATATTATATAAAATTATTTACGAATAATAACAAACATTTATTGAGCACTTATAATGGACCACATGTTTTACATGAATTATTTTATTTAAGCCTCACAACACTCCATTAACTTAGATATTATCTTTCTTTTATAGCTGAGAAAAATAAGGCATAGAAAGGATAAATAACCTGTCCAAAGACAGAGAGCCAGTAAGTGGTAGAGCAGGAAATTAAACCCAGGCAAGCTAACTCCAGAACCATGCTCTAAATCTAAATCAGTATGATATACTCTAAAATAATCAGCCAAGAAAACTATCCATATGAAATTGTTAATTTGAAATAATATATATTTTAAATTACTAGAACTATATATGTTGCTGTAAGATTCATTATATTTTGCTGCATTTAACTTTTTAAATTTCATTATTATTATAAAAAAATGAAAACAAATGTGCAACAGTAAATACATTATAGAATACCCATAAGATAGGTCATTACTCTGTCATAAATAAAGTTGTAAAAGATAATTATAGCTTAGAAACTTATAAGTATTGTTAAGCAAAAAAAAAAATTAGATGTTCAAACGATAAATTTTTTTACAAATAATGTCAAATGCACAGAAAAAACTAGAAAGATATATATACAATGTTAATAATATTTCTTAGAAATTTTGTTTCTATATTTTCCAAATTTTATATAACATTGAATATTTTTATCATTAGGAAAATTCACTTGAACAAACAGCCTACTCATAACTCCTGAAGTCCAAAGTGTTCTAAATATTTCTGCAATAAGGGAACAAATATTTATCAAAGTCTAAAAAATTGTTTTAGGTACTAGGAATACAGCAATAGCAAAACAAAGTCTATAGGTAAAGAATTGGGTAAATTTGCACTAAGAATGGAGGAAGAGAACCTCAAACATACAATGAAGCTCTAACCTTTCCATTGTGACTTTACTCACACCTTCCTACTAGTATGTTATAAATATTTTTTATATATTATAAACATATTTCCTATGTTATAAAAAGGTCCTGAATTGTTTTATTTTATTCATTTACTATTTCTTCTTGATTAAACTGTGGACACATCATCTCTAAACATGGTAGAAGGCCATAGCATTACTGTATAGAAATAGAAAGAAAAATTAACATTCAAAAATCAGTTGTATTTCACTACATTAACAAAAAATTATCTGATAAAGAAATTTATAAAACAATTACCATTAACAATAGCATCAAAGAAAATAAAATACTTAGGAATATATTTAACCAAGAAAATAAAAGATCTGTACACTGAAAACCCTAAGACATTGATGAAAGAAACTGAAGACACAGATAAATGGAAAGTCATCCTGTGATCATGGATTAGAATAATTAATATTGTTAAAATGTCCATACTACCCATAGTTACCTACAGATTCAATGCAATCCCTATCAAAATTCCAATGGCACTTTAGGAAAAAAAAAAACAACTAAAATTCATATGGAACCACAAAAGACCCTGAATAACCAAATTAATCTTGAGAAAGAATGAAGCCAGAGGCATCACATTTACTGATTTCAAACTATATTACAAAGCTGTAGTATTCAAAACAGTCTGGTGCAAGCATTAAAAACAGACAAATAGATCAATGGAACAGAATAGTGAGCCAAGAAATAAAACCACACATGTACAGACCTTGACAAGGGTGTTAAGAATACACAATTGGGAAAGGATAGTCTCTTCAACAAACGGTGTTGAGAAAACTTGATATCCATATGCAAAAGAATGAAATTGGACCCTTGTCTTATACAATATACAAAAATTAACTCAAAATGTATTAAATACTTAAATTCAAAGTCTAAAACTGTTAAATTTCTAGAATAAAACATAAAAGCTCCTTTATAATGAGTCTTGGTAATAGTTTTTTGGATATGACACCAAAAGCACAGGCAACAGAAGCAAAACAAAACAAAACAACAAATAGAAGAACTACATCAAACTAAAAAGCTTCTACACAACAAAGGAAATAACAAAATGAAAAGGCAACATACAGAATGGGAGAATATATTTGCAAACTATATATCTGATATGGGGTTAATATCCAAAATAAATAAGAAATTCATACAACTTAATAGCTAATAACAATAATAATAATAACACAATTTAAAATGAGACTTGAATCTTAATAGATATTTTCCAAAGAAAACATGCAAATGTCCAACAGGTATATGAAAAATTACTCAACATCACTATTCACCAATGCAAATCAAAACCATAATGAAATCTCACCTCATATCTGTTATGATAGCTATTATCCAAAAGGTAAGAGATCACAAGTGTTGGTCAGGATGTGGAGAAAAAGAAACCCTTGTACGCTGTTGGTGGGAATGTAGATTGGTACAGCCATTATGTAAATAGTATGGAAGTTTCTCAAACAACTAAAAACACAACTACCAACAATCCTACTCCTAGGTATATATCCAAAGAACATGAAATCAGTTTGTCAAAGAGATATCTGCACCCCAATATTCATTGCAGCTCTATTCACAATAGCCAAGATATGGAATCAACCTAAGTGTCTAACAATGGATGAATGGATAAAGAAAATGTAATATCCAAAGGAATACTCTTCAGCCTTATAAAAGAAGGAAATTCCACCATTTGTGACAACAATGATGAACCTGGAGGACATTACACTAATTAAAATAAGCCAGACACAGAAAGACAAACACAGTATAATCTCACTTATATGTGGAATCTTAAAAAGTTAATCTTATAGAAGCAGACAGTAGAACAGTGGTTGTCAGGGGCTAGGTGGTGGGAAAACTGGGGAGATGTCAGTGAAAGCATTCAAACTGTCATTAGAAAGACAAATAAGTTCTGGGGATCTGCTACAGCATGGTGACTGTAGTAAGTAATACTGTATTGTATACTTGAACTTTGCTAAAAAGGTAGATTATAAGTGCCTTCAACACGCATACATGATAACTATGGATGGTGACAGATGTATTGACTAATTACATTGTGATAATCATTACACAATGTATATGTATCTCAAATCAGCACATGGTATACCTTGAAGATAAACAATTTTAATTTGTCAATTATACTTCAATAAAGCTGGGAGGGGAGAAAATCTAAGAAGAATTAAAAATTCATTGGGATTTCATACAGCCTGGTGACAATCTCCAGTCCCTTACTAGTCTTTAGTAAAGAGAGAAATATTCCTACATTTAAATTATTAAGTATTCTTATATAACACTAGCCTTTCATTTATGTACTGTTCATAAAAGAAATGATTTTCTAACTGTAAATGTCCATTGTATCGAAAGAGCTTGCAATGTTTATAATTTAAACTTGACACCTGGGCGCGGTGGCTCACGCCTGTAATCCTAGCACTCTGGGAGGCCAAGGCAGGCGGATCGCTCAAGGTCAGGAGTTCCAGACCAGCCTGAGCAAGAGCAAGAATCCATCTCTACTAAAAATAGAAAGAAATTAATTGGCCAACTAAAAATATATAGAAAAAAATTAGCCGGGCATGGTGGCACATGCCTATAGTCCCAGCTACTCAGGAGGCTGAAGCAGAAAGATTGCTTGAGCCCAGGAGTTTGAGGTTGCTGTGAGCTAGCCTGATGCCAAGGCACTCTAGCCTGGGCAACAGAGTGAGACTCTGTCTCAAAAAAAAAAAAAAAAAAAAAGAAATTTTAACTTGACATATTCTTCAGTATCAAATCTGTCCAGGCGAAAGCTTCTTAGCATCGGTATTCAAAATACACTAATGTAAAATATACTCAGCTAGTCATAAATTGTTTTATTTTATATCAAAAATATATTTAAAATCTATAAAAAGTTAAAACCACCTCTCTCTTCCTCAAAAAAAAAAACCCTTTACTGTATTAACTTCTTTTAAACTACTGTTTAAATTTCTTTCTTCATATATATTAATATCAGATATAAAGATATTTGAGGAAAGAGATTATAAAACAAATTTAGTAAGAAAAGAAAGGAGTAAGAGAAGAAAATAGGGAGAGAGAAAAGAAGGAAGTATAAAGGAAAAGAAGGAAAAAAGAAGAAAAGAAATGAGAAACTACTCACCTTGAGGGACCAGGTCACAGATATCATCAATTTGTTTCTGGGTTGGGAAATGACCACAGTCATTGAAGAACTTAAGGAGCTCACCTCTTTCTATTCCTTTCCAATCTTCTCTCTTAGCAAACATTGTTTCATAGACTAAAAGAACAAAAAGATAAACAAATATATGTGTGTATATATATATATATATATTCTTTACAAATAAATAATATACCAAGTACACCTAAAGGGTTCATCTGGATTTGAAGAAACTTTAACTCCAGCTTTATTTTCATATCTGCCAATAAGCCTCCATGACTAGACTGGCACTAAGTCAACCTCCTGATGAAGGTCAGAAGGAAGTGGATGTGCTCCTCCCCCTATCATCCCATGTTCTGCAGTAGTGAAATCTGGACTTAATTCCCCAAGAAGAACACTGGCATCTTCTATCCTGGTTTCTTGACAATTGACCATATACCCTATATACATCAACATTGAACCCACATGGTAAGAATTAGCTTTAATGTCAAGATTTCTGACAGCCTGACTCCTGCTGATCCATTTCAGTGTTCATTATTTATCAGCTCCTCTACTTTTCCTCACCTCTTTTTGGATTCTACGCACTTTATAACTATTGGAATTGGTGACTCCACTTTGGACTGAGTTGACCCCTAATGGGGGAAATGTCTACTTTTTGCTTGCTAACTTAATGTACTGCTACTTTTTAGTTTAAGGCATTTTGCCATTCCTGGCTCAGGACTACTACAGAAAACCACTCAGTTGGGTCACCTGTCACCTATCTCCCATACTTGACATTAGATAGGAGTTAAACAATGAGCAACAGAATTGATGCATACAGTTTGTAAGTGCAGTTTTCCATAAATAATTAATTTCTTCTTTTCAAAAAGAGTCTCCACTCTGAAGTGTGTTGGATTAACCCCATGAAGCTGATTGTTAGCATTTACAGCAGGGATCCTCAAACTTTTTAAACAGGGGGCCAGTTCACTGTCCCTCAGACCGTTGAAAAGTGTGCACTGTGGGCCCGGGACCAGTCGGCTGCTAAGTAGGATAGACAGCAGTGGCAAAAACACCCGGAGGGCCAGATAAATGTGCTAGGTGGCCCGCATCTGGCCCGTGGGCCGCAGTTTGAGGACGCCTGATTTACAGCATGACAGGGACTGCCTAATTAAAGGTTAAGCTCTGAAATATGGGTTCTCAATAACAAAGGGCACCAGAATGGTTTCTAACATAAGTTATATCATCCCCACACTCAACCATATGGATTTCAATTTTCTATCCATTCATTCATTCATTGAGTCAAGGGAGACATTCATGAGACATCAACAAATTCAAGAAATGTTTAGTGATTCCCTAAATATGAGTAGTTTTTCCAGCTCCTGAAACACAGCAGTAAAATAAATAAATGTAAATTCATATTTAGTATACCTATGACTTTTTCTCTTTTTTCAAATAAGCAAACTAGAGCAGTTTCTTTTGGTGCCCTGTCCGTATGTCCTTGTCCCTTACATTTCTGTGCATGCTGACTTGACTTCAAGTGCCAATATCTGCATTCCATTGCCTAAGGGCTCACTGTGGCTGCAGGACTTCACTCTACCCACCTGTGCAGCAAGCCAGATGTGCCATGGAATTAAGACTTCCACTGGAGTGTCCCTAAACCACTGGAGTTGATGGATAAAAACCCAGCACTTAAGATAAGTTGGCTACAATGTTTTCTTGAGTTCATATAGGGTTTACGCTCCAGTTGTCCACATCATAATTTCCTTGATAATACACTTTTTTGACTTCCCAGCCCTTCCCTGTCTCACTTCTCCATTCCACTAACAGCATTTCCTGGGATTAACTCCCAAATAAATTAGTTGTCCTTGAATTCTTGTCTAGGGTCTGATTTTAGAGAAACTCCATCTATGACAAAAAGAATTTCAATTTTTACTTCTATGTTTAAGTAAATATATTTCTCTTTGAAAAAGTATATATACCTTTATTAGTTTTTCCTTGAATTAATCAATTTTAGATGTTTCTCATAATCAGATTGATGCATTTATTAACATTATGGTTTTGTGACTATATTAATAGATAACAATTCCCTTAACCTGTATATTATGTCCTATAAGCAAACTTCCAGCACCATGCTAGCATAATTAATAATCTAGGCTGGTATAATCAGGGTAAATATAAAACAAATCATGAAAATTAATGAAACTTTCTGATCATTAAAAGATGTTTTAAAAGGCAGATATCTGCCAAGTATCACCCAATCAGCAATCAAAACATAAAAAGGATGAAAAGTTTTTTAAGGAACATGAAGACAAATAAGAACTTGCAAACTCTGTGGACTCTAGAGTTACTTTAACCCTCAATGTAAATGGATACTTTGGCTGGTAATTCTTTAAATTATTCATTTAGCTAATTCTATTCTACTGTTCATATCCTATGTTGGACAGAGAAGCATCTGTCCAAACTGGGCTCCTTTATTCTGTCTTTGCCTCACGTCAGCCTATTCTCAACAAAACTACCAGTGATGTGTTGAACGTACGTGGTATCATAGTCCTCTATTCGTAATCCTCCAATGGCTTCCCAACTATCTCAAGGTAAAATGTGATGGTCCATAAAGTCTGACCCAACCTATGCTCTCCACTACCTTGCCCATTTCATTTTGCTGTGCTCTCACTTGAAAACTTCATTCCAGTAATATTAATCTCCTGGTTTCCTCTAATACTAGCAGCCTGCAAATTAAGGCCTTTGTGCTTACTGCTCCTGTAGAACATTATTCCCCTGTAGATCCACCAGGCTCACCCCTCACTTTCTTTAAGACTTTTACTCAAAGAACTTCCCAGATAGAAATTACCAGAGTCCAGGCTGCAAAACAGAAATCGCATTAGTTTCTTTTTTTTTCTCTCTTTTAAACAGAGAGGTTATTTGAAGATGCAAAAATATTGAAATCTGTAGTTGCATATCATGGGGGAGAAATCACAGGAAAAAAGTAAAGCCAAGAAAAATAAGCAATATTCTATAAGGTTAAAAATGAATTTAGTAACAGTTTTAGGTATGAAGACTGAGTAAAACAGTGGGAGCACTTTGAAAAGGATACGTGATTTGGAAGTCATGGCTAAAAATTAAAGTGGGTGGGAAAGAAAAGGTAGTCAGCGTAATAACTGGAAGGTCCTCATACATACTAGTATATATTTTGATAAATATTACAAAATTTGTACATCCATATTATATTACTTAATATAAAACTACTATTCACAAGAGTATTAAGAATAACTTACTGAATTTTGTACTAGGGAGTACAGAATTTATGAACAAAAGTCCGGAGTGCACACGGGTATGACAGTCTCTCTCTCTCTCTGAAGACTCTAAGTAAAAGGAGTCCCAGTAGCTTCCTAATGGGAGAAGGGTCTTCTCTTTCTCTGCCTTCTCTCTCATTTGCTTTCTCTTTCTTCTTTCCTCTTCCTCTTTCCATCTCTCTGACACTTTGCTCCTTTCTGTCTGTTCCTTTCTCTGGAAACCAGGCTGTTGGACTGGGTGAACTGATCTAACTGAGCCCTCTAATTTATGTGGAATATCTCTCTCTCTCTCTTTCTTTCTCCCCCCCCCCCACACACACTCCTCCCTTTCTGGTGTCTTCCTTCCTCTACCTCTAGCCACAGAAAAGGAACCATTCTAACTCAAAGAGTTCTGGTTATTGGTAAATATCTTTTGGCACAAAATTTTGTCATAACTAATAAGCTTAATGAAAACTATCCTTTTAACAAATATTTTTGAGCCCTTCTGATAAACTAGTCATATGCTAGACAGTGGGTATTCATTGGTAAACACAGACAGTGGGTATTCATTGATAAACATAAGCAAGCATATCCTGTCTTCATGGAACTTAGAACCCTAAATGTAAAATTTTATGATTAGCTGAAACTACCAAAAATGTAGCATTTTTGCCTTATAAAGCAATAAGATGATTCCAATTAAATATAATTTACCTAGAGCATTTATTTTTTTTTAGTCAAGAAACTGTAATAATCTACTCTAACCCTAACCAATATTGAATTGATTAAATAGAAATAGAAATTGGGTCTCTGAAAGTTAAGATATAAACTGGTATCTTTGTTCTATAAATAGAATTCTAACACTAATAAGGAATGTGTAGTTTAGTTTGCTGAGTGTCCGTTAACTCTTCTTCTGGTACCAACATTTAATTTCCCTTTGGGGAGCTACCCATCCTCCAATGGATACAGCCTCTCCAACTCTCAAGCAAGATTCCCTACCCACTTCCTGCAAAGTGTTGGACTTCAGATTTAAGCTACATCAATCAGTTGCTCTCTCCCTGGTATTTGAATATAAAGCAAAGGAACAAAAAATCTTTAAGTTTATATAAAGCTTATCTATCCCCTAGAGACAAATAGAGATTGTCTCTTATTTCCTGTTCCCTAGATCTCTGGAGTAGTTCTGGTTTACATTCTGTCTGAAATCTGATTCTTTAGCTATCTTTCTGATATTCTCCCTTTAAATTTCCTTTTTAGTTTTAGTTAGCTAGAATAAGTTTTCTGTTGCTTATAGAGGATCCTAAAATATTAGTCCAAATATACAATATGCAACTTTAAAACTCAAATTGCTTACAGCAATGTAAAAATATAGTCTACCTTCTGTTTCCGTGGGCAATTACATGTAAAATTTCAATGGTTAAATTAATTCCAAACCTAAATTCAAACCAGAAATGATTGTAACACTTACATTTTTTTCTGTCCATCCATTCCTCTAGCTCTGATAAATTTATAATTTGTCTTGTTCTCCAAAGACCAAGTCGATGTCTAACACGGTGGATTGTTCTACAATACATGTTCACAACTGCTTTCAAATTAGGTCCATGATGCAAAACCTATAAAACAGTAATATAGACAGAAAAGCTCCTTATATGTTTCTGCTACTTATATTTAATTTGACTTTGCCCCTTTCATGTAATCTATTTCCCCCAATTTCTGAGATCATGGCTGTATTTATTCTTTATTGCCTAGGTTGGTTAAATATATGCATTGTAGAGTAATATAATTTCCCTAAAGTTCAGAGAGCTTCATTATGATTTCCTTTGTTATCAGATATTATTCATATTTACCCTAGAATATAGGTTCCAATGATGGCTACTCTTACAGACACTTCCTAGGTTGGTGTTCAGATTTCTAAATTATGTAGCCAACTCAGCAGAGAAAAAATAAGTTTTCTTAAGGCATTATTCTGTACTGGATGATTCTTGCCTAAACAGTTTGCTCTGGGTGCTCAGAGCTTGTCTTTTTTTCCTTTGAAAACTACATTCATCTCTTTTACCTATTTTTCACTGGGCTTTTTCAGGTTTCTTTGTTTTCTAAAATCTCTTTGAATATTAAAAAATTAACCCTTTCCAACATACATGCAAAATTTTTCTATTATTTTACCTGTGACTACATTCTTCTCTATTTCTATATGCATTTTTTACAGTTGACCACAACAGTTTTTTTAAAAATTAAAGTTTTAAAAATTCATCTATTTTCAGTATTTATTTTTCTCTTTTCTAAATACCCAGTTCCATTTTATTTATGAATTCAATTATTTTTACATTTTACATTTTCTGGCTCATTAATTTCTGTATTTATCTTTATTAATTCCTTTTTTAAAAAAATAGGTTTATCTTCCTGTTCTTGATTTCTTGAATTATCACGAAAATCAGCAAGAAAAAATCAAACAACCCTATCAAAAAGTGAGCAAAGGACATGAACAGAAACTTTTCTAAAGAAGACAGAAGAATGGCCAACAAATATATGAAAAAATGCTCAACATCTCTAATCATCAGGGAAATGCAAATCAAAACCACAATGAGATATCACTTATCTCCAGTAAGAATGGCCTTTATCAAAAAGTCCCAAAATAATAAATATTGGTGTGGATGTGAAGAGATAGGGACACTCCTACACTGCTGGTGGGGACTGCAAACTAGTTCAACCTCTGTGGAAACCAATATGGAGATACCTCAAGCGATACAAGTAGATCAGCAATCCCACTACTGGGCATCTACCCAAAAGAACAAAGCACAATCTATAATAAAGATACCTGCGCTCGAATGTTTATAGCAGCACAATTCACAATTGCAAAACTGTGGAAACAACCCAAGTGCCCATCAATACATGAGTGGATGTGGTATATGTATACTATGGTATACATAGTGTGGTATATGTATACTATGGAGTACTACTATTCAGCTCTAAGAAACAATGGTGATATAGCACACCTTGTATTTTCCTGGATAGACATGGAACCCATACTACTAAGTGAAGTAGCCCAAGAATGGACAAACAAGCACCACATGTGCTCACTAGCAAATTGGTATTAACTGATTAGCACCTGGGTGGACACATGGGAATTACGTTTATCAAGTGTTAGGCAGGTGGGGAGGACGAGGAGGGGATGGGTATATACATACATAATGAGTGAGATGTGCAGCATCTGGGGGATGGTCACCTTTGAAGCTCAGACTTGAGGGGGGATGGGGAACAAGGGCATTATATGCAACCTTAAAATTTGTACCCCCATAATATGCTGAAGAAAAGAAAGAATGTATTTACATTTATAAATTTTCCTCTGAGTCCACTTTCCTTTTGTGTGCTTTGCATACCATTTTATAAGTGAAAAAACTGAAGCAGAAAATATTTAAATAATTGTTCCAAAGCCCCATAGCTAGTAAGTTGCAGAATTGGTTTTGAAACCAGAATAAGAACATTCCATAGACCACGCTTTTAACTATACTCCGTATTTCTGTTAATTTAGTTGAATTTAGTGTTTTCTACCTATTTTGTAAACTTTCCTAGCATATTTCTTGTTCTTCCTTCTGTCATGTTGTTTTCTGTTTTGTGTGATTCTCTAAAGGCTGTTTTTATCATTTTATTTTTCATCTTTGCATGATTTTGTGGCTCTTCTCTGAAATTTTCAAATACTATACTTAAACCTAATTTTGTAATTTATCAATATTATCAATGAAATGATATTTCTTGTTTGCCTGAATGAGAAACAAATTAGTACAATTTTACTACCCTCTTCTCCTTTTTTCTTCCATCCAATGGCAGATTCTGAATGCTTGCTAATATCTCTTGACAGTTAATAACATCTTCTAATGTGTATTTTTAATCTGCCTTTGTTCAATAGGCTGTTGTCCTTATAAAGAAAATAATGAATTGGTTGTCCTTTTTGAGCATTCTCACCATATGAATCTTACTGGGAAACAGAATTCACTTCCCACAAGTTGAAGCCAAAAGTCCGATGCTGAAGATCCACACCTCTTCTGGTGCTGGGATGCAGACGTCTGAATTTCATCCACTATTTGCCCCAACCCCAGACTTTGAATGTAAACTAATAATGCTTTTAAAAAGGAAACAGTGGGAAATCTATTTGTGTGGTAGAGTAAGTGGGGCAGCAATATTCATTTTTCAAAGGCAGCATTCATGGAGGCAGCAATACCCAGAATTCAGCATCAGCACCAGACTCTTTCTGTGCAGGATTTGACGGGAGTATGGGGAGCTATCCAGCCTTCATCATTCCTTCATGTTTCCCAACTTAGTTCTCTACACCTCAACCACACACCAATATGCTACTCAATATCTTTCTGCTTATGTCTGTCAGAAGATTTCTTTTGCAAGAGTGAGACCCTATCTGTACAAAACACAGAAAAATTAGCCAGGAATGGTGGCATGCTCCTGTAATCCCAGCTACTCGGGAGGCTGAGGCAGGAGGATCACATAAGCCCAGGAATTTGAGGTTGCTGTGAGCTAAGACAATGCCACTGCATTCTAGCTGGGGTGACAGAGTGAGACTGTCTTAAAAAATAATAATAATAATTTATTCAAAAACATGTTTTAGGCTCCTAATATGTGCCAAGAATGTTCTAGACCTTGTGAACAGAAAAGACAAAATTCCTGTTTTCAGGGAGTTATATTCTAGGGGAAGGAACAATCATCCATTAAACAAAGAAAGCTACATTAGGTGGCAGCAAGTGCTGTGAAGAACAATAAAGTATGTTAAGTGGAATAGGGAGTGACCAGAGTGGGGTTTATTTTAATGGTACAGTATGGGGCAGCCTTGTGATAATGTGGCAATGATCAGAGACCTGAATGCATTAAGGAGCCATGAGTCACCTGGAGGAACATCTTTCTCAGTGACATAATGAGAATCATTGCCAAATTGAGCTACTTTTATGGGTGAGGATGTTTTATAGTCTTCCTCAAATGTGTTAAAGTGAAAAATAAATGCAAGAACCACTAATGAATCCTAAGTCTTTCTCAATGGCTCAATCTCTTTTCTGAGTTTTGGACCTACATACCCAATGACTTTCCAGATGTCTCCAGGATTAACCCAAATTGTTGCAAACTCACAGTACTGAAAACTGGACTGTGCCTCCTTTCCTTTATTTCGCCCTCTCCTACCTGCTCTTCCCTTTAAATTCTGAATTTCTCAACGACACACCAGGTTGCTCAAGACAAAAACCTAGGAATCATTCTTGACTCAATCTTCTTCCATATCTCTAAATCCAATCAAACTCAAATTCCTATCAACTGTCCATTTCTCCAACCCTACCTCAAGCCATCACCACCATGCACTCAATTATGAAAAAAGCATACTAGTTGTTCTCCCTCCATTTCGTCACCTTCTCCCTCCAATTCATTATTCCAGAGTCAATAAGTTTTCTAAAATACAAATCTAATCATATCACTGATCTGCTTTAAAGTCATCCATTCTCATACAACCTAAACTCCTTAGTGTGGCTTTTAAGAACATTCTTAATCTGACCCCTACTTTCAACTTCTTCTACTGCCATTGTCCTTCCACCTATCCCCAAGTCCCCTGAACATTCTATCTCACCTAAGTTTACTGATAATATCCTTTCTGTTCCTGTCAGTCTCCCAGTCTGCTTGACAAAATATAGCAACCCCTCATCCTCCAGATATCAGTTTATTGTCACTGCCCAACCACCATACCAGTGATAGCCCTTGGAGTTAAGTGGTCTTTCTAAGTGCTGTAACAGTATCTATGACTTCTTAGTTGTCTGCATTTCTCACCTGACTATAAGCTCTATGTGATCATACACCAGGCAGGAAATTAGACTGAGTATATAGTAATTATTATCAATTTTAAACATATATATGTATGCAACCATACATAGTTGAATAAATGAACATAGTTCTCCAAGTATCTGGTAGCTAACACATTTATATAATAAAACCATTCTATACAAGGTTATCTGTGCCAGGGGGTCCATCAATAGGCTTCAGGATTTTGTTACTGTTTCTGTTTTGTTCTTTTAAGATAATGATACACAATTCACATTTTATATCAAATTTTCAAAGAATTCTGTAACCCCCAAAATATTAAAGACCATTGAGCTATGCATAGGATATTGCTATGGTAACATTAAAACTCAGATTTTTTGAGGATTATTCTAAATTTATTAATATTTCTATAACAAATATTTACTTAAAGCCAATTCCAAACACTTTTTCTTATGGCAACCATAAGCCATTCAAATATCATAGAATTTCAATATTTTGGGCCAATAAGGCAACTGAATTATCAATTTAGGATTAAAATTTTTAAATTAAATTATAAATATTCATAGAAAAATATTAATATTAAGTAAAATTTTAGAGTCATTACATTGAGTAAAATACAATGTTTTGTCTTTATGATTTTTATATCATTATTACTTATACCAAAACACACATAAACAAACAACACAGAGATTTTTAAAGGAAAAGTACATTCTGAATGGTAGAAATAATGTTGATAATAAAATATAGCAATCTCTGAGGTCTTCTGATGTATGAATGATAATTCACTGTTATTTCATTATTTCCAAATAAACTCAAAGTAAGAGAGTTTCACAGGAAATGGTGGAAATTGTACAGTCCCTTGAGAAATCTTAAAGTGACATTCCAGCAGACACTGTCCACAGCAACAAGCTCTGAAGTGGCAGTCAAGCTATATGACTATAGAAGTCTCCCAGTGGAGAGATTGCCACAGTGCTGACAATTATCCAGTGATTTGCTGTGCAGTCTCTAGAGCAGAAAGTCTATCAAGAATTCCCCCAACAGCAACCCTTCACATAGGCACAGCCCTGGAAATTTATACTTATTGCATTGCAGGCCATTCCCACTAGCATTTCAACAGTAGGCAAAACAACTTTAAACACATCAACAAAGCAGCCATCCAACACAAAGCACCATGCCAATGATGGAATAAAAAAGAAAATCAATGATCATAACAAATTTTATAACCAAATAAAAGTCAACAATCTAGTTTATATTGGCTCTGATCCTTTAAAAGTACTTCCCATTCTTTTAATCTCAAATTTTGCCTCCATAGAGAAATGCATCATTTTCCTTATCAATCTTTCCTTGCATCCTCATTTTAAGCCCATTCTTTTACCCTACATTTTCTGGATCCATTTTTTTTTGTCCCAGAGATTACAAATGACTCTATAATTCTCTCTATAGAAAGAAATACTATAATTCAATTATATAATATATATCAAATGTATATAGATAGAACTTAAAGTACCATGATAAACTTTTACAATTATATTTTGTTGAATTAATTTATCCATTCAAAAGATACTTATTGAGTATCTACCATATGCTAAGCACTATCCTAGGCATTTGAATACAATAGCAAACAAGACTCCTGTACTCACATAGTTTATAATCTATTTAGCCAAAATAAAGAATATAAACATATACAAAGAAAAAAAACATGAAAAATAGTAGATAATCAGTACATATAAAATGATAGATACTGTATATTATATGTGAAGTTAGTATGTGGTACTGTGAATACAAAAATAAAGAGTATGTATTCTCAAATAGGTCACATAAATCATACTGTCCACAACAGACATGTAAACAGCAGATGACAACGTAGAGAACTGGGTACAGTAATAACCAGAAGAATGGAAAGATCAGCTCTCTTCGATGCAGGTAGTCTACGTGCATATTCTTTAGGAAGATCTTTATAGTTTATCAGAAGATAAAGGATAAAGAGTATTCCAGGCTTAGAAAAGAGCATAAAAACATAACAGAAAACAATCAAAGTTTGGGGTTTGCTAAAGCACAGGGAGTATGTGAGGGAGAATCATGTGATGAAGCTAGGCAAAGGGCAAGAGCCACAACAGAGAGGTCATGTGTACTATGTCAGAGAGTTCATACTTTATGCTATCCACAATATAGGACCATCAAAATATTATAAGAAATGTAATAAGGTAATCAGAGTGGAATTTTTATATGTCATATGGCAGACAGAGTAGATGGGAGTATGTCTGTAGGTAAGGAAACCCATTAGGAGACTACTGCAATTCTCAGTGTAAGGGTAGATGAATGGAAGCTGGAGTAAGAAACTCAGAAGAATAGTTCAAGAAATGTTATGAAGGTGGTAACCAGTTGAATGTGAGAGTGAATAAGTTGAAAAAACCTAAGAGAATTCCAGGTTTATGGCTAGGTGGTGGAATATTTCATCAACTTAGGATAAGAAAAGAAGTGCTTTGTGGAGTAAGAAAATGAGTTCATTTAAGGATACATGGAGTTTGATTTAACTTTCAAGACTTACCTGACAAGACCTTTCAAGACTTACCTGAGTCTCAACCAAGAGAGATAGGTCTGGGATATGGGTTTAGATTAGATTACAGAGTAATCAGCATGGCTAAGTAGTTCAAGTAGGTGATGTGACATATAGAATAAGCATGATCACTGAAGTTAGACAGACATGGGTTTGAATTCTAGCTCCGTCACTTACTAGCTATTTGATTTTGAGCAAATGACTTAATTTGCTTCAGTTTCTTCATCTATCAAATAGATATAGCAGCTATATCACAGAATTACTGAAGGATTAAGTATATGGAATGTCTATTTCTTGCCATAGTTTTACATGCATTATCATGTTTAATCATAGAAACACATATGTATATTATACACATATTAATATACACACGTATAAATTTACACCCAGAGATAGCTAATGGATTACCTCTAACAATATCATCACTTTCTCAGAGAAATGTGTTCAGGATGCCCACTGCAAGTCTATTTTAGAAGCCTCTTCCAAGAAGAGCAAGAAATTGGAGTAGGCATTCCTGATCTATTCTTTTCTTGATAGTTGGTTTCCCAAATTCCTTATTAGTTAGTAACTTTAGCCCTCAAGGGTGAGGACATTTGGGGTTCTCTCAAAGGTTTGCCAAGATCCATCCCCTCAGGTTCTTCTGCAGTTGCCCATGCAAAATTGGTCTGCATGATTTATTTTAAAAGTCGGAATTGCTGTTTATAAAAATTGGCCAGGTAGATATTTATGTGTGTAGTTCTCTTTAAATTGAACATTTATGCTCTGCAAGAGTACCCAGGAGTATGGGAAGTGTAGTAAAGTTGCTGTAAACAGAGAATAAACAGCAAAAAAGAAACTAACTTTAGTGCAAAGATAGTCTGGCTTAAGAGTAAGTGGTTCCACAACTGCTAGGGATAAGTGAAGCTTTTTATTCAAAGTCTCCAACTTGGCACAATCTATAATTGTCATCAGAGCAGATTATTCAGAACATTTTCTTAATCAAAAGTACGTAGAACTTTACTTAGAAATATCATAGACATATTGACCAGGTGACTATTCAAAATTCTACTTAATTGAATCTACGTGAGAAATTTTAAATATATCATATTGAATGCATACCTTACCTTGGTCATTATTCTTTGTAATCTTTTGCGTTCAAGAAATCCCCTGACATGTGCCTGCATGAAAGTGATCAATCTAATTATTTTTTTGGTAATTAAGAATTTCTTTCTTTCTTGGAACAGTTGGAAGATGTCTAAGTGTGGTCCAATTCTTTTAACTTTATTGTCAAGTGTATTGTCTTTATCTATAATAGATTTGACCCTAAAAATAAAATACAAAAATTTGTTATTTTAGATGTTAGAAAAACACTTCTGCAAACAGTCTTAAATTCTTTCAATAACAAATATATTCAAATAGGAAATATAGTGTAACTTGTACATAGAATTCAATACATGATATCACCTGAATATATCAATAAGCTTTTCTAAAGAAGGTTGAATAGGCCAGAATCAATATTGCGTGTATAAAATTACACTTCTGTAGAGAAGAAATCCAAAAGAAAGTGAATTTGTCAAAGTTTCTCTACAACTATTCAAAAGAAAACATTTTCACATCACAGGGCAGGTGAGTTTGAGTAATCTTCCTATCCCAGCAGCTATTTTAAACTAAAGACTACTTCAATATTACTTAATTATCTGGTACTGGTATTCTCCTTACCAAACATCATCAAAAGTAATTTTGACCCAAATGCTCTCAGTTGAGAAGCACTATAGTGTTGTGGTAGGGTTGTGGACTGTAGAATCGGCAGAAGAGAAGAATCATACTAGAAACCATGATCGGACTGTAGTGTTGACATGGATGACCCTTCCAGTGATGAATAACATGTGAGAAAAATGCAAATTTTCTACCATGGACGGACTATCTGTAATCTCAGTAACCCTGTGTCTGCTTTTTCCCTTTATATATTTGTTGTAATTTTTAGGTGGTGGTCAGATTTTTCAAATCTTCCAAAGTCCCAAGTTTAGTTCTCTTGCAATTCTTAGCATATAAAAATGCCTCCTACTCTTAATGTTTTTGTCTGCCTCTCTTTCACAGCTGGAGTTCCACTAAGATGCCCAAGTCAATTCACTCACCAGAGGCTAAGTCTTGCCCCAAAAGTGTACTGTGCATACAAATCTGAACCCCAGGCCCAATTTTCTTGATTCTCAGAGTGAATCTCTGACTCATGCTGATCTTCTTTTTGCATTTTTTTCTCTTAGTCTGTTTTGGTTTCTGCACTAAGTTGGTTCTTGAACAAGTCTTGTTTTGTTTTGTACTTGGCTATTAGTTTTCTTCTTCTATTGTTAACTAAAATGTAGTGAATCTGATTTTGATTTATTTGGCCTAGCCATCTATTGATTGGTAGATGAAATCATAGTTCTGTCTTTTTGTATTTGTCTTTTCTGTAGTTTGTCTTGAAGCTTGTGTTATCTCTCTGGTATGTCCTATATCATATGTTGTTTAACCACCAACATTATATCATTTTTGAACATCAGTTTGAATAACATTCAAAAGATAATTTTATGCCCAGTAGCATGGAGATCAGCCCAAGATTTAAACATTTCATAAGTAATGGAAGATTCTTTTTGAATCCCTGAACTACTTACTCCCAAGTGAACCAGTAAGATTTGCTGAAGCATAGAAAACTGTACTCTGTATTTATTTTTGACCTATATGTAAAGATTCACGATTGAGGCTGCTAGTTCTCTTAGTGTCTGTGTGTGTAAAGGAAAAATAGTCCTTTCCCTCTTTGCAAAACAAAGGAAGTTTGCTTTGTACAATATTCTTATAACACTAGCTCTCTTGTATTGGTGACTGATTCTTTCTCTCATTCTCATTCTCCACCCCCACCTTTCTCTTGAGAAAATTTTTATAGATTACTGAGTCAAAAATATATAATTTTGTGCACTTGAGGGATTGATACATTATTAAACAGACAAAGTTTACCAGAAAAGGTGAACAGGAAACAAAGTTTTATGTTTGTTTGTTTAAATTAAGATTGATTTTGAATGGCATTGAAAAGATGGTCCATCCTCTAAAGAATTTTTGCCTGATTAATATAATAGTTTTTATGAATTGTCTTTGATGTGTGAGACAAAGCAGGAATCCATATGAAATGGTAATGGTTACTTCTGGCTTGTGCAGAGCTTCAAGACCTATTGTGCAATCTAAGGGATTCTGAGTTGATATCTTTTTCTCCTTTCTCTTAGAAGAAATAAGGAGATTGTTACAGAAATACTCAAAAGAGCCAAGCCAAAAAGTGAGGGAAGGCTTTATCTTCTAACAATAGGTGTAAACATAAAGGGACATGTGTGATGTTAAGGTGATGTGTAATGTGTGTTACTGAAGCACCAATTCTAGGCCACTAGGATCTACTGGACTCCTTAGTTGTCTCAATGGGCACAGAGTTCTTAATCACCTCTGAAAAGTGTGTGTGTGTGTGCATGTGCGTGAGACAGAGACAGAAACAGACAAAAAAAGAGACATAAACAAAGACAGAGAGACAAAGATGAAAAGACAATTTAATTTAGTTATTTGGGTTAAAAGCTGTAGTTAATATGAGCAATTGGAAGTATATTAAGTAAAAAAGTTGTGAAGATATGCAAACATGTTTACAAAATGACGGATGTATTTTGTCTGTTTTGTTTTTTTTAACAATTGAAAAAGAAAAGAATTTTATCTTAGGCCTAAAATATATGGACTTTGATCAGTATTATACCTCTAGATAACTGGAATGTTAAAGAAAAGAGAAATTTGAAGTTGTAGGATAATTTATAGAAGGCTTGATGGAAAGCAAATTGTATTTACAAATAATGAATTTGAAAAAAGCTATGAAATATACTAAATGTTGACAAAGGTGAATTTTGATGTGCTTAATCATAAAACAAAGAAATGCTTATGAATCCTTGCCTATAAGATGTTACATAGGTGATATACAAAAAAAGTAAAATTAAAATTAAAATTTGATATCTTCTCTGGTACAATGTGTGCTCTTAATTTGACAGAGGAAAAACCATTCTGTTCCTTCAATATATTTTTCCTAAAGAACAAAAAGTTCCTTATGTCACAAAATATTCCTTTTTTCATGCTTCTGAATCTTTTTTTCTTCTTTGTAATTGACTTCTTACAAAATTTGGTATTCCTAATATTGACTGTTACTTGTGCCTGTGTTACTTCTTTTTTTACTTAAAAGACACCTATGACTACTGCTCATATTTTGCTTCCTCTGACAATTTTCAATACTGTTTTTACCAAATTCAAGTCCCAAATTTAAGAAAAAACAAAAAAAGTATAATGTCTTTTTAACTTATCTTTTGGGTATCCTAGATGGCTTCAAGACCATACCAAAGATTTTCTTCTTCACTATATAAAAGGAGGGCTCCTAGAAGTGACAAGGTACGTTTGGCATGGTTGCTATACAGATGTTATATAAATGTTATTTTAAAAAGCCAAAGATGGCCCCTATATATTGCCCCCTATGTTGTGTACTTCTTCGCATTAGGTTAGCATCATTAGCTCAAAAGCCCGCTCAAAATTCTTAGACACGGCCCAAGTAAGCATATTTTTAGCCATTTAGAGCCTGCCTGCTTTAAATACCCCATAAAACTGCATCCAACATCTAAAAGGCTTGAGGCCACTGCTGCCTTTCAGAGCTCACTGACCCAGAGACTCCCTACCCTGCTGCTGAGTGACATCACCTAGCATGTTAAGTCCCCTCCCAATTCCCCTCTCCCACAGGATTTCCTTACCTTCTTCCCCTTCTGGGTAGTGGTTCCATGTTATGGCCTCTGGAAGGCCTTTTCTGTGAAAGACTTTTCCTCTCATGTAAAACTGTCCATGTGCTGCCCAAGTAAGGCTTGTTGTGTGCTACTGCCACTTTGTGGTCATATCTTTATCTTAATCAACCCCAAGATCCTTGAACTCACTACAATAGTCCATATTTTTATCTAATTCAACACTATACTGCAGGCCGTCCTATTTATCAAGGCCCAAAATATAAAAAGCCGTGACTAAACAAAGTTCGGCCTAAGTTAAATACATAACTAAAATATTATTAATATAAAGGTATCAGATGCACACTGTGGTAAACTGATCGCATTGATGGCCAGTTAATGCCTTCTTCAATCTACATCTTTGCAGTATGACTTTGCAGCCCTGCTCATTGAGAGGCGGAGACTATTTACCTAGCCTATGACTTTGAGCTGGTCTTGTGAATTTCTTGGCCAATAGAATCCAGTGAAAGTGATAATGTGCCAGTTCTGAACATGTGCCTGAAGAAGCTTTACACAGTTCTCTCAGCACCCTACATCCACATGAGGACAAGCCAGCAAGCCTCTAAATGATGAGAGGACACAAGGAAAAGAGAGACAAGCTGTACCCACTCATGTGAGACCAGGTGAAATCAGCTGAGTCTGGACCAGATCCTCATAACTGCCTCCTGAGAAATAATAAATAGTTGTTCTTTTAAGCCAGTAAGTTTTGTGATGTCATTGTGGCAATACATACTGATACACATACTCATGTTTATACCAAAAGACTAACATAATACTTGCCAACTGATTTTTTTTTAAAAGAGTTTATTTCAGAGGCAAATTATCTGTCAAGTAGTAAATTACCTGTCATGAGAAACACTTTATAGGATAAAATTTAAAAACCTTGACATTTGTCAATGTCCTCACTATCAATAAGATGTTCTTCTTTCAAGGTGATCAATGACTACAGTCTTAAACAATGAATATATATGTCCTCAATAGAGAACTCTTTTTCTCTCCACTCTGAGACTGTTGGTTATTACAGCAAATTTATGCTAAATGTATATTATACCATTCAGTCATATTACCAGAAAGTAGTTTCTATCTTTCTCACCCATTTGCCAAAGCTCTTGCCACAAGTTATAGGTCATAAGTTTCATCTTCTGAAAGAAACATCAAAAGAATGGTAACCTTATGAACAATGCATTTTCTTGATAATTTATAGTGGAAGAAAAAGAATATGAGGACAGGCTTTTCAGTTTAAATTGATATCATAACTATGAACCTGTTAGACTAGGCAAAAGGACTGATTCAGGATTTGGGACTTTTTTGTCCAAAAACAGACAATTTCATGTGATAGTCTGCTTAATCCAAAATCAGCAAACTAAGAATTAATTATCTAAGATTGAGTTGATCAGGATTGAATCCTGAAACTTAATCAGCTGATTAGGTTATGATTAGTATTTATTTTCTAATTAAAATATAAGAAAACTCCCTTTGACTCAACATATAAATTTCAGTTTGCCTTTA